CATAATTAACACAGGGGTGGAGCTAGCGTTGGCCACCCCACTCACAACTGCTGCCTTGGTCTCTTTTTTCTCGACAAGAATTGCATTTATTTAGATGCAGAACATCTTTACGACCACATTAAACGGGAGACTTTTCAGACACGCGTTCCAACTTGATCTTCACTTCACCGAAAAGCTACAGGTGACGAGGAGCTTCAGTAGAACAACAGTGAACTGTTGATGTTGATGTTGTCAGGCCATATGGGAGTAAAAACTAATTTTCCTGTCCTGTCAGCCGTTACACTGTGCTTGTAGCGTGTGCTCTTCAACTGCACACACAAATGTGGCGGCGCGCTGTAGCCTGTATCATTTCACATCAAAGTGCGAAAGAAAGTACAAGCATGCAATGTTGTAGTTATGTCATCAGTTAAGTCATTAAGTTACCAAATAGGCAAGTAAAGCTGCCTTAAAACTGTTCATGGATTTAAGTATTTGTTATATGAGTTACATTTAAGAACATGTCTCTGAAATGGTTTTCAAAACTGTCCTGGAGCAGCCCAGCACTGTCTCCCTTATCTAATACACCCGATTAAACTCGTCAGCTCTTTAATAGAGACTTCAAGACCTGAAGTGGGTCAGAAAAGGTAAAAAAAAAGTTGAGAGAAATATGATGCGTGTTAGATCAGCAACAGCGTGCGTTCAGCAGCGGCAGCTCTTAAAGAAATAGCAGCCAAAACAACCTAAAAATGGTTAATTTCTCTGATTTTTTTATAGAGAAATCAGTGTTGGTATCATTCATACTGGCCTTCAGTCATAAAAAAAAGATGCCATTAAACAAATATAAAAAAATATATACTGTCTTTATGTTGTTTGTACATTAATTTAAAGATTGGATGTGAAATTATTGCAATATAAAAGTATATTTAAAAACTTTAATGTTAGGTGGGATTAATTTCAGAAAATATTTTTGATTAATTAGTTGTTTTTTTTAATTGATTAACAGCACTAATATATATATATATATATATATATATATATATATATATGTATGTATATATGTATATGTATATTTCTTTTTGCTCAGAAAAACAAAAACAAAATTGTAATTAAATTAAACAGAAAACTTTTTAATTTCTGGGGGGGGAAACAACCATTTAAAGCAGTATTACACTGTTTTTATGCTTAAACCCTTTTTCGTCTTTGACCCATGTGAATAATATAATATAAAATGTTAATGTATATAAAATTACATTTTTAGTCAATAGTTAAGTTTTTCATACTGGTATTTGTATAATAGTTTTGTATTAATATTTTTATATATGAATATATATTATACATGATTAAAAAATATTTGCATCCAATTTATATGTATGTGTGTATATTTCATATTATTAAACATATATATTAAATTACATTATATCCTATATATGTATATGAAATTATACTATAATTAATATATTTTTAATTCTAATTATTATTTTATATTAATATATTAATCTTAAATTAATGATATTAGTATTATATTTTATGTATATAATACTAATATAAATATTATATTTTATATGATCATATTTGTATGGTAATTATATTATACATTATATAACAGGATTTTTGCTTCGTATTTGTTTAATATGTATGTATTTGTTTATGCATATTTAATATATGTATGTTTAGTCCCAGCCGCAGGACCGTCCGCGCAGTGCGGTGGAGCACATGAGCAGCGCTATAGAGGTGGGCCGAACACGCATGAGCGTGGAGGAGCAGATGGAGCGAATCAGGAGGCACCAGCAGGGGGCGATACGTGAACGAAGGAGAGAGGACGGATCGCTGTCCCGCAGCCTCTCCTTCACTAAAGACAACCCCTACTACACCCTACAGGTACTGCACCAGCATCTGCTTTCAGAGGAGTTGCACTCGTTAGCGTGTTTATGTGCTTAAAAATACACTTGAATCTCTGCACAGTCAGTTCTGGATTTGTTGAGTTGTCATTGCTGCATTTTAAACACGAGATATGTTCTGATTGGCTGGGATCTTGTTGCCTCGCGTTGCTTTTTTACTTGACGGACAGAAAATGAGACTGGAAACCTTGTGCATATTAGTTGACTGTTATCATCTGAGGTTTGTAAATGCTCGGTCACTCACTGTCTCACATGAGTGAACCAGCTCTCAGACATGAATACACCAATAACGGATGTCACATTCCCATCATGCATCTGGTGCTGAGGGCCCTGCTCCGCCGTTAGAGGTTTGTCCGGAGGGCGCTGTAATTCAAAGTCACTGGATGATTCGTGCTCCTAATTATTCCCCACAGCGCTGCACTTTGCAGTTTTCCAGCTCGCTGCGTTCCTGCCAGGCTTCAGAATGGACATCTGTGAACATCTCCAGCATTTCTCGTTCATTGCTTCCTCTTCTGTGTGCGATTCTTCCCTCAGACACGTAAGAAGAGCCCGGTGATCTCTCCGGATGAGCTGACGACCAAACCGACTGAAGCGGAAGAAAACTGCAAGAATACTGAAGATCTGAAATCTGGAAATGCCAACCTGGAGAACAAGGTATATATACAGTGGGTACGGAAAGTATTCAGACCCCCTTCAATTTTTCATAGATTAATAAACTATACAAGTATTTATTAAATTACAATTATAAATTATTATTTCAAATCATAAATAGTTCATTGAGTGCTATCTGCATATTTTTATTAAATCCTTATCCATCAATAATGACTGGACAAAGCCATCTGAATTCATTGTTCAAAATCCCTTTAAATACAGCATTTCTACTAAAGTTTGCTTTGGGTTATTATAGTTAACTAAAACGTAAGCGTAAAATAAATGTTAAATAAAATAAAATCTTTTTTTAAAACTTCTGATTTTATTCCAGCTAGTTGCTAAAGAGACATTTCTTATTTTTATTTAGTCTAACTTGGTGTACTAAAATAACTAAAACTGAGTTAAATAATGATAAATAAAAAAAACTATATGGACATATTAAAAAAATAAATAAAAAAAAATGTCAGAGACGCAATATAATTACTAAAACTGTCAAATGTAAATGAAAATGGAAAATATAAAAATTAAACCTATTTCAAGCTATGAATGAAAACCATAATAGTATCTTAGTGAAACTAAAAAAGCACTGCTAAAATAAACAGCTGATCAGGGTCATAGTTAAGAGACCAGTGTTTCATTCATCTTTATTCATGTTAATATTAAAATATTAAAAATAAATATAAGAAAAATTAATATATATTATATTCTGATTTATAAGCTTTATATTATTTTTATTATTATTATTATTATTATTATTATTATGTGTTATATATGCTCATTCATATTAATGTGTGCATATTGATATTGCATTGGTATCAAGAATGGTGAAATATTATTGGTACTGGTATCATGACCACCCTTACATGAATTATTTCATTTATGTTATTTTTTATTTGAAATAAATATATTATGTCATCAAATATCTAAATATCCCTCACTAGGCGTTTAGGGAGCAGTGAACACTCTGTAGGGTCCCTGTGAATGGTCCACTATGAGAGTTTATTTCGTATGTTTGTGTCTGTGCTCAGGAGAAAGCGCCCTTGTCCCGATCGGCCTCCATTAAAGAGTCTCTTCTGAAGAGCGCGAGTCCAAAACCAGTGCTGAACGAGGACCAATCAGAGCCCAGATGTGTGAGTCCGCTGGAGTACCGCAGGACTCTGGCCACTCAGAACAGGTACAAATCACTTCACACTGATCTGAACACACACACACACACACGCGTCGCTTCAGAACGGAGGATTGAGCGCTCTCTGCTGTGTGTGTCAGCTTACAGACGGCCGTCATGGTGCGCGTGGGCACTGAGGAAGACGAGGAGGAGGAGAAGCCCCCCAGTCAAGAGCAGGACGTCTCTTATGAGCTGACCAACAGCAAACACGGCACGCTGATGTCAGGTGGGCGGTGAAGATGAGCTCTCTGTAGTTCTGATTCACTCCATTAAACTGAATTAAAAACATTTGGATTGAAAGGAAAGTGTTCAAAGACCTTGTTCCCCTTCAAACCTGAAACTGGAACCACTAACACAAAACCTGTTGTGTATTTGTGCTTTATAACTTTTCAGTCAATTAGATTTTAGTGAATCATATATTAATTTATATATTTATTCATGTATATGTTCATTTATATATTCAATTATAAATATAGATTAATTCTATATGAAATATTTTTATATAAAAATTAAATATCTAATTATAAATAAATATGTATATATTTAAATTAATATATGATGTATATGTATATATTTAAATTAGTATATAGTTACAACTTATACTCATTTATGTATTAAATTATATATTAATACCACTAACACTAAACCTGTTGTGTATTTGAATGGGTTTTTTTTACTTCTTAGTGAATTTGATATTAGTGAATAATATATTAATTTGTATATTTATTGATTTATATTAGGGATGCGGCGTTACTGGTATCGGGTCTGATACTGCGCCCCTGTACTCGTTCTCATGAAAATGCTCCGATACTAAAAGCCGATAGCACACAGCATGTGACCAGTGCAGAGTTCAGACAAATAAACACCGACAACAGAACAAGAGAGAGCAGAATGACAGAGTTATTACAGATTACGGATGTCTATGAAGTACATGTAATTAATATAATGTTAAACATTCTGTATAGCTGATGTGCGCGAGCTGATAAGCAAAGCACACTGAGTGGATTGAGCACAAGGCGGCACAGATGCTTGAGTGAATATCCCCCAAAATTATAGGGGCATTCACTATAAACAACATGTATTTTAAACGTCAAGCATTCTTGACTTTATTTAATGTGAAAGTGAAACTAGCAGCCTGTGTGAAATGCTCTAGGCTATACTGTACGTGTCTCTCATTCTGCACCAGTACAAATGTGTGTGCATGTTGGGCATGGTTTGCTTGTTGACATTAATTGCATTATATGAGTCGCTTTGGAATATAAGTTGCAGCACGTTTCAGATGATAAAAAATGCAACATGTTTCAGAAAATATGTTCATCACTGTTACAATGTATAGGCTAACCAGTGATTCCTTACATTATTGCAGGAAAACGCCTTGTGATTACAGTTCTGAGCAGCTCTAATGTGCTATTAAATTAAAGATGAAGTACCATAGAGCAAAAAATGAACAGTGAGAGTAACAAAAGCTTGTAGAATGCATTTTAATTTGCATAGTTAAGTGTGAAAATAACAGAAGGAAATATCCATTTGTTAAATGAACTAAGACAACTAACATTATTCATTTTCTTTTGGTTTCTGTACCCAGTATTTTTTTTTTAATTACAAATGCAATGAAAATACAGGTATCGGTACTCAGTATCAGCAAGTACCAAAAATAATAGTATCGGTATCGGCCTCGTTCTGGAAAAAGTGGTATCGGTGCATCCCCAATTCATCTGTTCATTTATAAATTAAATTGCATATAAATTAGCTATATATTAATTTATATATGTATATATTTATACATCTATATATTTAAATGTTTGCATTTAAATTAAATGTATGCATTTAGCAGACGCTTTTATCCAAAGCAACTTACAGTGCATTCAGGCTATACATTTTTTATCAGTATGTGATAAATATAATAAATATATATAATATATATAATAAATAACATTATATTTATAACTTACATATTCTTTTATTTATTAATTTAAATATTTAACATTTGAAATATAACTGTGCACCTGAAGCTGGTACCACTAACACTAAACCTGTTGTTTTTGAGTGTTTTAACTTTTTAGTGAATCAGAAAACATTCAGCACGACCAGTATGTAGTTTTGATTCACTAAAAAGAATCGGTTCAAAAGAGTCATTTGAATGTCATTTGATAGACTCTTCCAGTATTTTTAAAATCAGAGCCGGTTCTGGATAAGAAGTCTTCATTTAGTGTCCTGCTTGAACGTGTGTGTGTGTGTGTGTGTGT